AGCACTGTCCGGCACTTGGCCGGAAAGATCACATGATTTTGCACTGTCCCTATGCACTGTCCGTAGACTTCCCGTTTCCAAATGGAACAAATCACGTGATTTCAGTTTTTAAGTGTCATGCACTATATCAGTTTCAGGCACATTTGTCTTAATTTCATGGTTTGGCGGGAGATCTTCCTGCACTGTCGATAGTTTTAAAACAACAAAAAATTGCAATTTCCTTTTTAGATTATCTAAAAACTAATCAGATGACTTTTAAGGAAAACATTCAATTCAAATCCTAAAAAAAACGAGAAAATGTCTCGCCAGAGAGTAACAACAAGTGGTACTACAATAAAAGAGTTTGAAGGTGAAACAACAAATTCTCGTTATGACTTAAGACAACCAAGAACGCCACCAAGGTATACAGGGTTTAATGGGTATCGAACAACAACAACAACAATGTCAATATCTAAAAAAAAAAATATTCCTCTAACGCCCGAAGCTTCTCCGACAGCAACAACACCACCACCACCCTATTATGTTAACTCGATAAATCAACCACCACCACCACAGATGCCTATATTGAGAGATTCATCTTTTTTATTAGGCGGTGTATCTCCAGACGGACCACATGCACTTGAAGAAGAATGCTATCAAATGCTGAAAAGAGGTGGCTCAATTGGCTATGAGAATAATAATAATGAAAAATTAGCGATAATATCTTCAAAGAATGGTGTCAATGACAAAAATTTTGAACAAAATAATCTCAAGAAAATCAAATTTGTAGAAAGAATCCCAAAATTGACCTACGAACCCAGTGATTACGGAACCATGCTTTTAGAGAGTGATGTTTCTGAGGGAAACAATAAAGAAATTAATCAATTGAATCATAGTGGTAGCAGTGGTAGTAGCAATAATAACACTGCTACTAATGATAAAAATGATTCAGATTCATGGAAAAACATTGAAGCTTCAATGCAAATTCATACGACTTTGGCAATGTTTTTGGTGTTCATCTGGAATCCACTCAAGACACTTTTTCTTTATATTCAACGACATCCACGTGTAAATCCATACATCAACATCAAATCGTTTATGATTATTATTGCAATTAGTATCTGTCTTTTCGTAGCTTATAGGTGGAATTATTGCAACAAAAATTCGGATCAACTTTCTTTGGATATTGCTTGGGATTCTGATGAATTTCGTGCATTAATTTCCAATGAATTTGGAACTATTTTCTCTCATGAAATACAAAAAGTGTTGGAGAAAAAAGTTGAATCTGGTCTCAATCGAGACGATGTATTGGAAGCAATGAGAAGAGAAATGCAAGAGGTAAACAACCAATCAATTAATCAATTAATCAATTAATCAATTAATCAATTAGTTAATCAATTAATCTAACATGTTTTTTAAAATTATATAAAAAGGTGTTTACGAGAGAATTATTAGAGAAAAAATATGGATCAAGTCGCCCCGATTTTGCTCTTTCAACAGTAGGTGCAAGAGTAATTCCACATCTGACATCATTATCTTACTCTGTCTCTCCTCAAAGTTGGACAAGGAAGATTTTTTCATATATATCGTGGCGAAATAATATTGTCGACAATGCACCGATGATTACTATCGCACCTGGTATTTATGATGGTCTATGCTGGAGCTTCGCAGGACAAAAAGGAGTATTGGCTGTGCGACTAGCGAAAAATGCATATGTAACTGCAATCACCTATGAGCATATTAGTAAAGAAGTTGCAGTACGAGATGAAGTTTCCCCAGCACCAAAAGATTTTGAGGTCTGGGGACTTCCAGAAAACGGCATTGAATTGAGTGTAGAAGATTTCACAATATTTCTTGGCCGTTTTGCTTATAATGTTAAAGCATCAGTCCCAAGACAAATATTCAATACCGCCAAATCAAAAGTACCAATACGTGCTGTTCTATTTAAAATTATGAACAATTGGGGCAATTCGAAATTTACTCGTGTTTATCGATTCCGTGTTCATGGAAATCGCGTCAATTAATAATTTAGTAGTTATACATTTGTGGTTTTTTTTTAGTTTAGACTGAGATTTATTGCAAACGTATATTCTTGGAATTTTTTTATAAAGTTCTTAGACATTTAACGATCTATGTTTTGTCTTTGTAGTAATCATGTAGCATTCACGGCAAGCTTTTTTTGCTTGCTTGAAATCAAAAATTCGAAAATTGAATTTAATAATGTTTGATTGATTCCAAATCAGAAAATACAAATAAAAAAATATTTTGCCTTTAGCAACACAAAAATCAATTTGGATTTATTGTTATAATCGACCAGAAATATAATATTTATTGATATTGTGCCCAAAACAGTATTATTTTTATAAGAGAAACGCCAAATATCAGGTGATTCTTTGAGGGGTGGGGGTGTTATCGATCATCAGGTTCTACAAAATTAAATAAAAATTATCTAATATTTAACACCCTCTTCCTAATATAGAACTAGATTAATATTAGTTTTACTAGAATTACTTTTTGTATAATCTTAATACAAATTGTAGTTAATAAGAAAAATTTAAGAATTTGAGAATAAGAAATTCTGAATAGGAACTTTTGTTTGCAAAAAATCAATATATATAAGCATATATTGTGATTGATAAATATTTATTTAAATAAATAACTAACTTGATAAAGTTAATTACTTATTTAATTAAATATATATACAATGTCAATAAAAAATAAAGTCAAAATTTATTAATTAAATATAGTAAAATACAGACTTTTCTTTTTATATAAAAGTTTTAAATTTATTAATAAATATTTTTTATTTTTACATTAAAATAAAGACAATATCACATATTTAACATAAATTTTTTTAGATTTAACCTGATAAAGCTATTCTAATTGCATATAAAATCAATTATTTTTTTTATTTGTTTTAATTATAAAAAAATAATTAACTTTTTATGCAATTAAAACAGCTTTATCAGGTTAAATCTAAAAAATCTGAAAAAAATTTATGTTAAAATATATAATATTATCTTTATTTAATATAAAAATAAAAAATATTTATTAATAAAATTAAAAAATTTTATATAAAAAGAAAAGTCTGTATTTTACTATATTTAATTAATAAATTTTGATATTGTTGCATTATTTTGAATTATTACTATATATATATATAAAACAAAAATCTTATTCAGATTTTTTTATTTTTAAATTTTTCTTAAGTTATATAGCTTTATTATTTTGCAAAAATTATAATATATAAAAATATTAAATACTTTGAAATATAAAAAAATTATAAGATAAAGAAGAGTATTTAAAAATTATCAATAATAAAAATTTATAAAAAAAACTTAATTATTCATAAAATTATATAAAATTAATTTAATAGTATAATTTTTATTTTATTTTAATTCTAAAATAAAAAATTACAAATAACTTATTATTGTAAAACTTTTATTAAAGCTATATAATTTTAATTCATGGAGATAATATAATAAATTAATATAAAATTAAATATTACTTAAATTATATTATTAATTTTATTCTCATTTTCTTTCTCATATTTATTATTTGCTTTTTATATACTGTAATAATTAGATATTTTTATAATTACAAATGATTATTGTACATAATCACTTTATATAATCACTTTACATGATCACTTCAAATAATTATTCTGAATGATCATTTTGAATAATTATTTCAAGTGATCATTTCAACTAATCATCTCAAGTACTTCAAATAATTATTGCAAACAATTATTTCTAATAATTATTTTAAATGATCATTTCATAATTATTAAACACTTATAAATAAAGCATATATTTTAATTTTAGAAATTAACTAAGTTAATAAATTTTAGTTTTATATTCTTTTAATAATTCTTTAGTTAGTTTTATATTCTTATTATTTTTATTATAATCTCTTATCTTAATTGCAAAGTTATTTGTATTTGTTTTATAATTTCTTGTCACTATTGTGAAGTTATATATTTCTATATTTGACTTTTTATCTATATTATAAAGTCAATAATATTAAATTAATAAAAGGAATTATATATTACTTATTTATAAATTAATTTTAAAAGAACGCTTAACTTATTTATCAATTAAATATAAAAAACATAATTATTTTTGAATCTTTTTAATTTTATTCTAGCTGACCAACAAAATGAATATATGTTATTTATCTTTAAATAACTTAGTAAATTTTTTAAAGTTATTTATTATATTAATTCTTCTATTTGATTTATTATATACAGACAAACCTCCCTAAATGCACCCTCTCCCGGGACCATAATAAAGTGTGCATTTAGAGAGGGTGTGCATTTATAGAGGGCAAAATATATAGAGCTCTTATGAGCTGGAATCCAGCCATGCTGTGCATTTAGAGAGGGTGTGCACTTATAGAGGGTGCATTTAGGGAGATTTGTCTGTATATCATTATGTATATATTTATAATAAAATATAAAATTATATAAAAAGATAACAAAATTTGGTGCTCTCTTTGTAAAAAGAAAAATTTCAAGATATCAAATACAAGTCACCAATTGGTGAAATCAAAAAAGATAAAATTTATCACTATTAAATTTGAAAACATAAACAAATTGATTAGTAAATAAAATTCTCTGTGAATAAATTATTTAAATTAATCAAATTGAATCCAACACAATTAATATAGAAATTAATTAGTTATTTGAAGAATTAAAAGACAAAACTGATTTACAAAAAAATTTTATTAAACAATAACTGAAAAAAATTAAAAACTGATTAGTAAAAGTATTTGCTATAATTCATTTAGAAAATTTAATCAACAAATTAATTAAATAACTTAGTGAATTAATATAATATTATTTATTACAAAATCAATAAAAAATTCAAACTTACCTATATTATTTGCAACAAGATATTCAAATCTTTACAATATAATGAAAAAGTTATTGTCAACAACAAAAATTTCAAGAACAATTAGCTGAATTACAAAAATTAAATAACTAAATTATAATTCAAAATAATTTACTAATACAAATTATTGAAGAAGAATTAGAAAATTAAGTAATTCAAGTAATTAAAAAAGATAATGAAGAAAAATAATCAGAATTAATTATAAATAAACAACAATTTAATCAATTGATAATTAGATTAGCAAATCTTATCAATGCTATTTAAGCATAAGCTGATGCTATTTCATTAACAAGAGAAGTATTATTCACAAAAATTATTGATTTTTATAGAGATATTCAAGATTTTATTGAATGGTTACAAGATTTCAAATCTATATGTCAAGTTAATAATATTATTGATATGAAAAAACAACAAATTATTAGTGTATATTTGAAAAATAATATTGGAACATGACTTATCAATAAAGAATAATTATAACAAATTGATTAATATAATAGAATTCAAATACTTCAAATAATATAAATAATTAAATCACTTTATTTATTTTTTAATTCAAATAATAATTTAAAACTGTTAATAAAATCTATGAATGACAATAAAAATTAAATCAATAAAAATAATTATTAACTAAAAACATTAAATAATATTTTGCTGCTATTTGATAATTATTTTAATGAATTGATTTAGATAATACTTATTTAAAATATCTCAAAGTAATATTATTTGTTAATGACTTAAAATCAGAAATCAAATTTTTTATTAATTCAGCTAGACTAGTTATATTAAATATTGTTATTCATATTATTCAATTATATGAATTAAGTTATTAATAATTTATTGAACTAATTGTTAATATAACTACTAGTTTATTAAATATTCCAGCCATAATATAATAATTAAATGATTTTAATTAAGTTTTATAATAATTAATTGCTCTTACTAACAAATTAAAAAACTTGTTAACTAATAATAATAATACTTGATCAAATAATAGTTCTAATAGAAGAGTATTTAATCAACAATAAAATAATATTTAATCATTAACTTACTATAATTATAAAAGACTTGAACATATTGCTATTCATTATCAAAGCAAGTATAATAATAACTATAATAATAATAATAATAATAATAATAATAATAATAATAATAATAATAATAATAATAATAATAATAATAAAACCAACATCATTCTCAACATGGTTACACAATTTCCTCAAACTGGACCACTGACTTATCAAATCCTACCAGCAACTC